TGATAATAAACGATGATCGCCTTGGTGACTGGATGATCTTTGGGCAACAGTATCGGATGCCTTGTGTCGTAGTCCAAGTTTGCGTTCTGAAGCCTTCCACCCACGCGAAGTAACCCATCGGAGCCGAGTATAGGTCTAAGCGAAACCAGCTTGCTTTTCTGTGGAAACGGCTTGCCCTGGCTAAGAGATCCATACTCCTTCGCCAAGTTAACCTGTTGGATGCTCCTCAGAAGAAGTACAGTTCCAGAGTTGATCTCCTCCACCGAAAGTCGACCTTTTAACGGCGCAGATTTGGCTCTGCAATTTGAAATGAATCGATAAATGTATGCAAATACGCGCTGCAACTTATCGAAAGAGTTGAGGAATTTGCAGTTTGATGAACTGTCTATGCAAACGGCCCCAATTAGAGCCACAGAACGGCGCTCTGGAAGATCCTTTACTGAGTCTAGCAGGGACGGCCAATTTGACGAGCTTTGCAGAAGGAATGGAGGCCCGTTAGCCCAAAGGGAATGTTCCAACAATTCTCTTGGGGTACATCCTCGCGATACGACGTCTGCCGGGTTCAAGTTTGTAGGAACGTGATGCCAAGACATGTCTTTCGTCATCTCCTGAATTTTCGCGATTCTGTTTGATACGAAAACGTTAAACTCCCTCGGAGGTTGCCGAATCCACGCCAACACAATAAACGAGTCCGATCAGCAATGAAAGGTGCATTCGAAATCTATGGCTTCCTTGGCGTTTACGATTAGCTAAGCCAATAAAAGCGTTGCGGAAAGTTCTAATCTTGAAATTGTTAAGGCCTTCAATGGAGCTACCCTTGACTTGGCACAGAGCAGATGGACTTTCGATTCTCCATTGGTCTCCGATCGCAAGTATAGACACGCTCCATAAGCTGACATGCTAGCATCGCAGAATCCATGCAACTCAACGGAAGCCCTTGGTTGCAGTACGAATCGTGGGAATTTTAAGTTCTGTACGACCGATAACTGTGAGGTCAACTCCCCCCATGACGAAAGAATGGGCTCTGGCAGTGCATCATCCCAATCCACGTTCGCACTCCATAGAGATTGCAGAAAAATCTTAGATTTTGTGATAATAGGAGTTATTAAACCGAGTGGATCATAGAATTTGGCAATCGTCGACAATGCAACCCGCTTAGTGGGTCGTTGATTGATTGGCAGTTGAGAAAAATGAAATAGGAGCTGATCAGAAGATGGATCCCAGACTAGTCCCAATGCCTTGGCGACATCCGATCCATCGTGAAATTTGATTAACTGCTCCTTGTCGCATTCAGACTCTCCCTTCAGGGCTGCTGACTCATTCGAACACCATTTGCGAATTGGAAAGTGGCCTCGCGACAGTAATTCCTTCACCTGACGACGAATTTCTCTCACCTCCTCAACTGAGTCCCCACCAGATATTAAATCATCCACATAGAAATCTCTACGAACAATTTTTGCTCCAATAGGAAATGATTCCTCCTCATCGTAAGAGAGTTGATGCATGGCCCTTATAGCCAAGAAGGCAGCTGGCTTGGTTCCGTAAGTCACCGTGTTCAATTTAAAACACTCAATTCTTTCCTGGAGCTCTCTCTCCAAACGATGCACTGCAAGAAATCATCCGGGTACGAAACACGCACGCAACGGTACATCTTGCAGATATCTCCACAAAGGGCAACTTAAAAAATCGAAAGCAAAGCAGTATATTGAAGATTTTTTGTTGAATTGTTGGTCCTGCCAGAAGTAAGTCATTCAGAGAGCTACCAGAAGTTGTTTTAGCAGATCCATCAAAAACGACACGAAGCTTCGTACTCGTGCTTTCCTGCTTATGTACGCAATGATGGGGCAAAAAGAATTGTGTTTCTGGCGGTTCCTTAGTTACAAGAGACATTTGACCTAGGTCGATATACTCCCTCAAAAATGCTGAATACTGAGCTTTCAGGGCTGGGTTTCTATCTAATTTAGCTTCCAACCTCTTGAAACGACGACGAGCCAAGCAATAAGAATCACTTAAAGATTCGAATCCGGAAGTGGTCAAGAGACGAACAGAGTATTGGCCGTTTCCAAGTCGAATGCAATTTTCAGTAAAAAGTTGCTCACATCGCAAGTCTTCCGGCAATAAAGATGGCTTAGACGAAGTGAAGTCCTCAATTTCCCAAAATCGCTTTACAATGGCGGAAAGTGTGTCATCGGAATAATCAGCTGGGTCCTTGATGCTGGCTTGTAAAACCGACTTATGAGTTGGCATGTTCGATGATAACCCTCCAGAGACTATCCAACCAAGCTTGGTGTTCTGAAGAGTTGGCAAAGCCCTATCCAAATGAATTTGTCCCATAGAAATTATTTCGAAAAACAACCCAGCGCCGAGTAAAAGGTCAATTCGTTGTGATTGATTGAAATTAGGGTCAGCGAGTGAAATGTTTTGCGGTATCCTCCACGATGTTGCATTTATATTGAAATGGGGTTGATAATCAGTAATACTGTGAGTCACAACCGCTGTGAATGCCGCTCGATAGCTTGCATCCCGTGATTGCACAAGAATATCGACAGTCTTATCAGAGATCATGGAAGATTCTCCTATCCCAGAAATCGACGTTTGCGATCTTCTGTGATTCAAGTTTAGTTGGCTGGCTAAGCGAGAGGTTATGAAGTTTAGCTGGGAGGCCGAATCTAAAATTGCTCGGCAAGGCATAAATGCTCCAATTCTATTTCTGACGTAGATAATAGCAGTTGGAAGCAACACGTAGTCGATCGGCAAAATATTTAAGGCTTTGGGTGGAGGGCTTGGTAAATGATGATCAGGATGCGATGATGTATGCGAACATGATACTAATGCTGATGAAGTAGATGGTAATGGCTGAGAGCTCGAGGATGGATCGCATGATGGAGATGAAAATGAGGTTGATGTTGCGGATGGGTCATGGTTCATGTGTAATAATGAATGATGCTTCATGCGACAATACTTGCAGTGAGTCGACTTGCATTGCTGCAAACTATGCCCCTTGCGCAAACAGTTGAGGCAAAGGTGCAACTTCTTTGCTTCTCTATATCGAAGATTCGGACTCAAATTTAAAAATCGAGGACACTTTGGCAAATAATGATCCCGTGCATCGCAAAATAAGCATGTCAAATGATTTGAGTTAGTAGCAGATGCAATAAGTGTATTTTGGTTATATTTGTGCAAGTTTTTTCCCACCTGCTGGCCTGGTGTTTGAGTTACCAAGGCTTGATCCAAGTTTTCCATCATCCTGCACCTCTTTTCCAAAAACGACTCCATAGCATCCCAGGTAGACAGCTCAGTGATTGACAAATCCTCTTCCCATTTTTCCCGCGTCCTCTGATCCAGTTTCCGAGTGACGATGTGAATTAAAAGTCCATCCAAAATTTGTTGCGTATTGGCCAGGGTTCGAATTGCTCGCCGATGCGAATTCATACAATCGCTCAGCTCCCGAAGACCCTTCGAAGATCCCTTCTCGACACCCTTTAAACCGAATATTGCCTGAACATGTGCCTGAAAGTGTAAAACTTTATTATCAAATCGATTAACCAGCAAATTCATAGCCTTTTTAAAATTAGCATTCGAGGGTTCGAGCGATCGTATGGTTTCCAGAGCCACGCCACCCAAACTCGAACGCAAATATTGTAATTTTTCAATGTCACTTAGCTCATCATCATTTCCGATGACCGTAGTGAAAGTCGCAAGAAAATCCGGCCACTCAGAGTAGGATCCATGAAAACGAGCAATTTCCAAATTTGGCTTTCTAGATCGAAAAGAAAGATCCGCATTATTAGTGATGTCAATAGATGTTGAATTTGCAGCGGTTGAAGCCGGCAATTGTGACTTGCGATGAGCCGCCAAGCCTCGGCTTAGTTTCGCCTTCACATCCATGAAGACTTCAGCAAATTCAATCCGATGGTCGCTCGAGATCTCTGCAAAGTCCAGTCTTTCCAACGATGTCTGCGCAGAATCAAATGCCTGGTTTAAGGAATTGATCCATTCCATTCGCGTCAGCAAATCAGATTCGTCAAACTGATTAACCGCATCAGCGTTTAAATAGCATTTCATCGAGCTCATTTGCCGCAAAATAGATTGGGCTTTGACTCGGTAGTAGTCGACGTCACTTGTGGATTCATTTTGAGCCCGAACCGAGTTTTCCGTATCAGACATTTTTCAATCACGAGAAAGAAAAAAATGAAATGAAAATGAAGTAAAGTAAAATGTCCGACCGCGTTAGAGGCACAAAACACCGTATACCCTTTACCGCGAAAACGTGAAGGTTAACAAGCGTCGCCGAGATGCAACGGAACCTTTAACTTTGTTGTTGTTGTTCTTGCCGATAAATTGCTTGCCTAGCAACAGCGGATTATGTAACTGGCAAACGAATGTATGTATGGCTATATGTACATGTATATATGTAATATGCGCTATTAACAAAGATTAAATGCGATTCACTTTGTTAAGAATTATTTGCACAACACAAATTTGGTGTTTTTTCACAGCGCAAAATGTACAAAAAATCAAACGGCCGGCTGTGCACTTTTATATGCACATATGTATGTATGTTCGTCTGTTTGTGACCGAATGCACGATAACGACAGCGAAACAAAGCGTTTGTTTAAACTATATTAAACAATCGCGAAACCGAGTTGCAGACTCCGATTAAAACTACTATCACGTCGGGGTCACCAAATGTTTGTGGGGAAGACAACAAATATGCCACCCTTATATTTATAATTAATAACGCACGAATAGGTTATATTAAAATGTATAGCTTTTATTCGGAGCGGCAGACGAACTGTGAATGTGTAAAAAGCTTGGCTCCAAGATCTTCATATAGACATATGCAGGCTTACAAAGTAGTTGCTGAACAGATAAGCGACAGCTTTATGGGTATAAGAAAGAAGGCGAAAGATAAGTAGGCGCTGGCGATCTGCTCCGAACAATTAGAACAGTAAAAAAATAAAATAAATTACAAAGAAATTTAAAATCCTTTTATAATTTTTATTTTTTATAATAGTAGTAACATTAAATGGTGATTTGTATAAACTAATTTGAAAACGTGATGTGAAAGTAGCATTGCCTATACCTCCACGGCCCTTCGGCCTAGCAGTGTGTCCATTATCCTGTCCATATGCTCGCTGCATTTGGCTAGGCATACATTCGCATACTCGCAGAGAAAATACATGAAACTCTCGAGCTGCTCCATCGAGCAGCCACGGAAACCGTCATCTCGGCCAATGTTATCTATGGCCCGTATAATAGAGTGTAGCTTGTGAACGTACTGTGGCGTATTTTGGCAGTGCTCCAAAGAAGTATCCGCCAAATTAGAGGGCTTAGAGTAGGAGCGGATGCGCCGCTCCACGCTGCAAAGTTTGCCTTGCTGCTGTTTCAGGGTTTGCACCATCTGCGGCATGGACATCACGGATGGTGCGGCAAATACAGGGGCTGTGGCGAACAACTCATCAAGTGGAACTGTGTCGTAGTCGAGGGAAAACAAGTCTGGTGAAAAAGACATCCTTTCGATATTGTTGCCGAAACTGTCAGTCTCAAATTCCGTCCGATCCAAGTCACTAGTCTTGATCGCCTTGTTGGCGTGGCTGCTATTGTTGGGCCAGGAGTACTTGCTGCGCCCTTCAAGGCCATTGCTGGCGCCCGTCTGCAGTCCCACCAGCATGCTGTAGCTACTCTCAATGGAGTACTTCTGGGCGGTGGGCCAGAACTCTGGCCCGCTACTAAACTCAATGTGGTCCACGCCGAAACGTAACTCAGATTGCTCTCCGCTGAGGAATGCGAAAAGCCGCTCAATCTTCTCGCCAGACATACGTTTTCCGCTGAAGGGCACAGCAAGGTCTCCGCTGGCAAACCAGTAGTGGGAGCAGTCCTTTACACTAAACGGGCGCTCGGGCAGCGTCTGTCGGCCTGTCGCCTCCAAGCTTGCACCCCCGCGGGTGAACTGGTGACCGTCGATTCCAAAAGCCAGATCCCGATTCTCCCAACTTTTTTGGGTGAATCTCTCGTAAAGCATTTGAAGGCGCTCTGGGCTGTTCTTGAAGATTTCCAAAGAGACGGTAAAGTCCCCTGATGTGACCCAGAACAATGACTGAGGATGGCTGGCTGGAATCTCATCCTGTGTGCTGTTATTCTCGACTGCCTGGGCATTGGCAAGGAAATCACGGTCACTTTCAGTTAAGGACGGCGAACTACAGGTGGCATGAAGGTCCAATGGGTGATCTTCGCGAATCACCTGCATGGCCAGAGAACTGCGTCGAGGACGCTCTTGGGAGAGTATGGGGCTAAACAGTTGCTGTTGCGCTGAACTGTAAGCAATGCGACCTTTTACGGGTGTAGAAAAACCGGAGGGCTTTGAGTCTGAAATGCCTACCGATTGGCGCATCGGACTATTGTCCATGGGCTCATTAGAGCACGTCTCGAAGCCCTGATCTACGAAACTGTCACGCATGGTCTGTTCCAGGGATTGCCTTGGGGTCTGAGCAGGAGACTGATCACTATCCGCATTTCGCGAGGGTGAAGAAATAACGGTTAGGGTATACGCTGACTTGATTTTACGCGGCGAGTTTACGTGGCGCATCAAGGACTTGTCCAACTCCATAAAACCTTGTTCAGGAAGTGGGAAGCCCCAGCTCGGTCCAGCTTTTTTCTTGGCTGGTGCAGTATCTGCTGGTTTGTAATCCGAATCGGAGTCTGTTGAGGTGATCGCGGTGGCCTCGACTATGGAATTCTCCTTCTTCCAAGTCAGAGTTCGTCGCATCTTCTTCTTACGCGGTGGGCGCTGGGGCTTAGCAAAATTAAAGTCATTTAGTTGAAATTCTTCTTTGGGCGTCTCGGGCTGAGATTCGTCGCTGGTAATCTGTGAAATTAAATTAAGCTTTATGATCTATCATTCACTTATTAGAGACAGTTCTTACCTTGGTCAGAGTAGACAACCCGGATTCACTCTCTTCAGCTTCGGATGGCTTGCAGCTGGAGGCACTGGAATAAGTATGGCAGGAAGGCACTGGCGGAGCCTGGCGCTTGATACGCCATGGAGTTACTTTGACGACCTGAGCCTGAGCCGTATCCACCTGCTTTGCCTCGTCATGCGATTCCATCCTTACCTCTGTCTCCAGTTCCAGTTTGGCTATAGCCTCCTCCATGAGCCACTCGACAGCGGGCTTTTGGCTTAAATCTTCCAACGCAACAGTTTTCTGCTTGGGAATCGGCTGCTCCTTTTCGCTGACTATCTCAATTGTCTGCAGACCGTTTGATACACTAGTAATGTCGAATTGCACGCCATTCTCTGTGCTGAGCCAATTATAGAAAAGAGTCTCGATCTGCTCGTTCTGAAAAAACATTTGGTTGTCGCATGCGTTGCGCTCCTGTCGAGTGCGGCGAATCTTTTTGGGCGGCGCATAGGCTTCCGTTTGCAGGGCGGTGCGTATCGCGGAAAGGTTTCGTTTTTTGGTTTTTGGGACTTTAAGTTCTCCGCTTTGGCACTCCAGGTCACGATTAATCAATGTCTGCGGTGCCCTGCTCTCTGTACTGGGCTTTAGGGTCACAGTCAGTGTGCTTACATGGAGCTTAGAAGTACATGGCTCCATTTTGTTGTCCGACGTCTTAGTAGAAGAGATCTTTCCTGGCCTCGCTCTCGGCTCCAGGATACACTTTGCCTCCAGTTCCTGAGCCAGTTGCTTGACGCTAGCTTGGTATTCCGCCACCACCTCGCCGCGGGCCACCTGTTTATTTACCTTTGCCTTGATATCTGCAGCGTGTGCGTTGAACTTGGGATGCTTCGCTGCCATGTCCCCAATAAACTTGTTAAACAAAAGCGCCTTATCCTTGACACTTAACTCGCGGAATACTTCCTCGGCCACCAAGCACTGTCCTTGGGCCTGAGACTCCGACCCAAGATGGTCCTGGGACTTGGCCTCCTGCGATTGCTCATTACACAGCTGAACGTAATGCGGCTCCGTATTGCGCATCACCTGGCTGATCTTTGAGTTGAACATCTGAGCCATCGCCTTCACTTTCATGGGCAGAGAGGTCGAAGTCTTTCTAGGTCCACAGAAACATGGGGAATCAATCTCTAGCTGCTGTTCGTACTTCTGCTTGAGTTCACTGATCTTCAAGTGGCCACTACCTTCGCTTTGTTTAGATGGAGTGTCCGGCTGGATAGACATCTTAGCAATGACGCTAGCCACTTTTCCTGTTGGGGCGGTCGCCATGACCCCCGCAATTATCTTGGTGGGCGTCACAGGTACTTCCTCGTCAAAGTACTTCATCAGATTCTCGCTATTGGACAAGTCCAGGTCGGTGACTTGAATTCGACGCGGTGTTAGTAACGAATTTTGGTGTTTTATGGCTGTCAGAAAGCGATCGTCGTCTAGCGAGAAAGTCTCAAAGAGCTCTTCCCGGGTCATTGTAGCTTGAAGCAGGCCAAAGGCGTTGCTAACATCTCCGTGCCTGTAAGATCGACGCCGCTGCTCGATTTCCGTGTTCAGCTGGACTAGCTTGCTGAGATCCTCATTTTTCATGGCTGCGGTGTTTACAACCATCTCGTTTTGCTTGTAAACGTAGTTTGGAATAGAATTGCTTCGGACCATTTTAAAACCACTCTTTTTCTGATCGTTGTCGTTATACGTTTCAGTTTGTAACTGTGGCTTTGATGCGCTCTGGTGATGGTTTATATAGCAGGCTCAGGTAAAATATAGACCCTGTCCAAATTTTATGATCCCGTACTTGCTACCTCAAGTGTCCCTAGTCCACATATGACCAATCAGGTAAGCTTAACAAAAAGGCAGCTGTCAATTTTATAAATTTTCCTTACTTTAACCGTCGTTTAATTGTTTTTCAGAACCTTTTCCTGATTGCCGTATCCAGGTGACCTGAAAAAACAGGTAGGTAGGTTTTGGATTTAAGATTTGCGTATATTACGGGGTAACTGCACATTACTCTGAAATTCTACTGGATGAGATAAAAAAGGTTTAACATGAAACACAGCTGGCGGAAACTTTAAAATATAAATTCAGTTTCAACTCGAGTTCAAGCAAGCGACCGAATTTCGCACTATTAATTGCCGTCAGTTTCATACCTAAATATTACTTAGTTCTAAAAGCTTCGAACATAAAAATCAGCTAGTTAAATGATGACATGTCAAAAGGCAAAAAGCTTTTGTGTATTTTTTTGTGCTAAAAGCACTGTGCCGCTGTCGACGTCAGCAGAGAAGACGGCGCAGCGTAAAAAACTGCCGAAGAAAACAAAAAGAGGCATATATTCGGAGATTCCCTCTCTGTTCAACAGGCCCGTTTTTTTCGTCTCTTCATTATGCTCAGCTAGCGACAAAAATTTAGGCGGAAACATATTTCTGGCGTAGCAAAATGTGTATGCCCTAATATTTAAAAAAAATATAAGTAATATTCATACCCTTGCAGAGGGCATTGATTGATTTCAGTCAGAAGTTTGCAACGCAGTGAAGGAGACGTTTCCGACCCCATAAAGTATATATATTCTTGATCAGCATCACTAGACGAGTCGATCTAGCCATGTCCGTATGTCCCTCTGTCCGTCCGTTTCTACGCAAACTAGTCTCTCAGTTTTAAAGCTATCGGGCGGAAACTTTCCCAAAAGTCTTATATCTTTTGCAGGTGGTATATAAGTCGGAACCAGCCGGATTGGACAACTATATCTTATAGCTCCCATAGGAATATTTGGAAAAATATTTAACAAAATTATATTTTTGGTGTTTTTTAACATTTAACCTCATAAGCTTAGAAATAACATTTTTTAATTAGTTCTGAATTTCGAATTTAATTTTATCAAAATCAGACGACTATATCATATAGCTGCCATAGTAACGAGCGGAAAATTGGTGCGAAAATAATATGAAACAAATTATAGCTTCGGTGTTTTTCAACATATAACCTTCTACGCTTGAAAATAAAATATTTTAATTAGTTTTGAACTTCGAATTTAATTTTATCAAAATCGGACGACTATATAATATAGTTGCCATAGGAACGATCGGAAAATTGGTTGGAAAATAATATGAAACAAATTATAGCTTCCGTGTTTTCTGACATATAACCTCCTACGCTTGGAAATAACATTTTTTAATTAGTCCTGAATTTTAAATTTAATTTTATCAAAATCAGACGACTATAGCATATTGCTGCCACAGAAACGATCGGAAAATTGGTGGGAAAATAATATGAAGCAAATTATAGCTTCGGTGTTTTTTGACATATATACTATTGGGAAAATAATTTTTTGTTTTTTTTTAATTTAATAAATATAACTGCAAGGGTATACAAGCTTCGGCTTGCCGAAGTTAACTTCCTTTCTTGTTTTTTGTAAAAGTAAATTATTTACTTATTACTCGTAAAGTAAATGGGTGTACTAGATTCGTCGGAATGTATGGAAAAGGTAAAAGAAAGCGTTCCCGACCCCTTAAAGAGAATATATTCTTGATCAGGGTCACTAGCCATTTCCGTCTGTCCGTATGAGCACTGTGATCTGGGAAACTATCGAAGCTGAAATACTTGGATTAGGCATGCAGATTCTAGAGGTTTTTGCGCAGCGCAAGTTTGTTTCGTCAGTGTGCCACGCCCACTCAAACGCCCACAAGCCGCGCAAAACTGTGGCTCCTACAGCTTTAATGCTAGAATTAAAATGTTAACTGCGTTGTATTGTTCTCATTAACACCTATCGATTGCCACGCCCACTTTAACGCCCACAAACTTCAAAAAGTCGTAAATATGAACGCGGATATCTCGGAAACTGTGAAAGATAGAGAATTGGGATTGTAGATTTAGATTCCGTAGCCTTGTACGCAGCGCAAGTTTAATACGCGAATATGACACGCCCATGACGCTTTAATCTGTCTGCCGCCCAAATATACATAAAAAGAGACCACTGGTAGCTGGCGCATTACAATCCCGCTTTGCTGCTGGCATATCTCCACCTCGCCTTGGTCCATTTAGCTGAGTAACGGGTATCTGATAGTGGAGGCACTCGACAATAGCAATCTTTCTTGTCTGAAAATAATGAAGTCAGGTAGGTGTTACTTTATGTTTAGTTTTTAAGGTGTTTTTAAGGGTTTTTATAAAATTACCTAAAAATTTATATTTTTCCGTTAGCCGAAAGTGGCATGATGAAATGTGTTGGGCTAATAATTATCCCGCAAAGGGTTGTACACTTATATATTTATATTTTTCCAGGGGCGTTGCCAAGAACTCAGAGGACCCACACAAATCTTTGAGGATGGCGATATCGAAGGATAAAAATAAATAAACAAAGAAAAAACAAGACTCATTAACAATAATTGTTCGTTAATGGAAAACCTAAATAACACAATTTATAGCAAACATAGACTAACAAAAAACAAGAAAGAAAGTTAGCTTCGGCAAGCCGAAGCTTATATACCCTTGCAGCTATAATTACTAAATTTAAAAACACAAAAAATGATATTCCCAATAGTATAAGATAATATGTCAAAAAACAGCGAAGCTATAATTTGTTTCATATTATTTTCCTACCAATTTTCCGATCGTTCCTATGGCAGCTATATGATATAGTCGTCCGATTTTGATAAAATTAAATTCGAAATTCAGAACTAATTAAAAAATGTTATTTCCAAGCGTAGGAGGTTATATGTTAAAAAACACCGAAGCTATAATTTGTTTCATATTATTTTCCTGCCAATTTTCCGATTGTTCCTATGGCAGCTATATGATATAGTCGTCCGATTTTGATAAAATTAAATTGGAAATTCGGAACTAATTAAAAAATGTTATTTCCAAGCGTTGGAGGTTATATGTTGAAAAACACCGAAGCTATAATTTGTTTCATATTATTTTTCCACCAATTTTCCGATCGTTCCTGTGGCAGCTATATGATACAGTCGTCCGATTTCGATTAAATCTAATTCAAAATTCAAAACTAATTTTAAAATGTTATTTCCAAGCTGCTAAAAAACACCAAAGATATTATTTTTTTAAATTTTTTGTCCGATTATTCCTATGGGAGCTATAAGATATAGTTGTCCGATCCGGCTGGTTCCGACTTATATACTACCTGCAAAAGATATAAGACTTTTGGGAAAGTTTTAGCCCGATATCTTTAAAACTGAGAGACTAGTTTGCGTAGAAACGGACGGACAGACGGACAAACGGACATGGCTAGATCGACTCGTCTAGTCATGCTGATCAAGAATATATATACTTTATGGGGTCGGAAACGTCTCCTTCACTGCGTTGCAAACTTCTGACTGAAATCAATATACCCTCTGCAAGGGTATAACAAGAAAGGAAGTTAACTTAGCAAGCCGAAGTTTGTAAACCCTTGCAGTTATAAGATATATTCAATGTTATTAACACCATGTTAAAATTTTAACGATTGTCGCTAGCTTCAGTGATATTTATGTAAAATTAAATTCGTAATGGTAATAAGTTAAAATATTCTACATCTCATATTATTTTCCAACCAATTTTCCGATCGTTCCTATGACTGCTTTATTATATAGTCGTCTGATTTTGATAAAATTAAATTCGAAGTTCAAAACTAATTTAAAAATGTTATTTCCAAGCGTAGAAGGTTATATGTTAAAAAACACCGAAGCTATAATTTAATTCATATTATTTTCCCACCAATTTTCCGATCGTTCCTATCGCAGATATATGATATAGTCTTCCGATTTGTATAAAATTAAATTCGAAACTCAAAACTAATTAAAAAATGTTATTTCCAAGCGTAGGAGGTTATATGTTAGAAAACACAAAAGATATAATTTTTTTACATTTTTTTTCCGATTTTTCCTATGAGAGCTATAAGATATAGTTGTCTGATCCGGCTGGTTCGGACTTATATACAATACAAATAAGACTTGTGGGAAGGTTTTATGCCGGTAGCTTCAGAACTGACAGACCTTTTTTAACATAAATATATATGTATATTATTTTATAAAAGGGACTAAAAAAATGGCTCGGTGAAGGAAACATTCTACATTTTTATAGGTGACATCATATCCGAAACATTCTGATTTTCACGAGTGGTTTTCCGTGTCACAAGGTGACGGCCCATACGAAAAATACTTATAAGGCACTCGTGAAATCAGGCCTGACCTCAAAAAAGGCCAACAGACCATATAAATGCGTACATTGAGATGTCAAAACGTCTGCAAGACTATTAACCATATTTTTTGATTTTCTCACTGCTAGTTAATACTTATATTAGTTATACCCGTTTTTCGTAGAGTAAAAGGGTATACTAGATTCGACGGAAAGTATATAACAGGCAGAAGGAAGCGCTTCCGACCCCACAAAGTATATATATTCTTGATCAGGATCTCTAGCCGAGTCGATCTAGCCATGTCCGTCTGTCCGTCTGTCTGTCTGTCCGGATGAACGCTGAGATATCGGAAACTATGGGAGCTAGGGTATTGATATTTGGCCTGCAGATTCCTGAGCTTCTTACGCAGCGCAAGTTTGTTTCAGAAGAGTGCCACGCCCACTCTAACGCCCACAAACCGCCCAAAACTTTGGCTCCTAGAGTTTTGATGCTAGAATAAAAATTGTAACTGAAATGTGCTGTTCTCATCAATACCAAACGACAGACCGAAAAAAAGTTTGCCACGCCCACAAAACGCGAAAACCTGTGACGCCCACAATTTTCATGCTAGATAAAAAATTTTAACTGAAATGTTTTGGTCTCGACAATACCTATCGATTGATCCAAAAAGAAATTTGCCACGCCCACTCTAACGCCCATAACGCTTAAATCTGTATACCGCCGGTAGGTGGCGCATTTTAATCTCGCTTTGCTGCTTGCATATCTCTATTTAGCTGAGTAACGGGTATCTGATAGTCGAGGTACTCGACTATAGCGTTCTTCCTTGTTTTAATAATAATAATGAAGCGGAAAAATGTGAGAGAAAGATGTGAATCTTTTTGATTAAATATTTATTTGTAATGGTGAATAGATCACGCTAAATGGTGTGTAAGACACTTTCGAATTGGGCTGATTAATAATACACAATTCATGTTCATATCGACTGCTCGTGGTCAGGAGGAAGAGGAAGAGAGCTAAAAATTTGTGAGACCAGACTATCTCAATTCCCGATGACCCAACGCAGATATAGCTTGACAGAGCTAACAGCTGATTCCAATTTTCCGGCCTAGTGGGGTGCGTGTGGTGGTGCAAAACTCCGTTTGATACCCTCGCTGGCCAACACTTGGGTTACTTG